AAACTTTTTCTTGGATAAAAACTAGCTATATTTGGATTGTTAAAGTCATCAAGTAAATGAATTATCCATTAACATCTTTAAATTGGCAAGTTAATCGAATTTTATGGGTATATTTACTGCAAATTCTCACGAGAGTACAACTCGTCCTCTAGGGTAACCTAGGGATTTAAAGACTTGTTGTATGTGCTAAATATAACTGCGATTCCTATGAAGTCAGTCAGGATTTTTTTTTCTTTGCTAGAGGACTAGCAAAAGTCTAGGTGTGGGAGTATTTGATTATCACAGTTTATTATATTTTATTAACATCATTATCTATCTTACTGAAAAATATATCACTAATAACATATTTTATCTTAATTTATAGGTTAATAAAAATTTAATGAATAAGAGCCCAAAAGAGTCAAATTTTCTTATTTTCTATAATTTATTGAAGCCCAATATGAAGACAAAATGAAGCCCAAAAAAGTAAGTGTCCAAGAAGAAATTGGATGAAGAAATCAACAAAAACTACAAATCAGTTAGAAACTAATTGGTCGACTAACCGATTGACCAATCGGTCGACCAACCGATTAGTCAACCATTTGGTTCATAACTGAAATAGTTTATGGTTGAGATTTAATCCTTGTTCCCCAAGCCAAGTCCAAGAGTACTTGTTCAATATTGTAGGTTATAAATAGGGGTAAATGGTGAGGGTTTTGAGTGCGAATTTTTTTGTAAAACTTCATTTGTAGATAGTGGTTACTCTTAATTGAGAAGATCTTTCAAAATTATAAATTTTATTCGCAATTAATGAAAAATTTTAACTCTTCAAAATTTTCTTTTCTTCTCTTTATTAGTTGATGTTTGTGGAAAATTTGGAGTAAGAGAAATGAAAGAAAAATTAATTTGTATTCCTTTAATCTCAATTACAATTTGGATTTTCTGATTACAAAAGAGAGGAGAATTAATCTGGAATTTGTATTCCTTTAATCTCAATTACAATTTGGATTTTCTGATTACAAAAGAGAGGAGAATTAATCTGGATTCTCCCCTTTGTTTAATTCTGGGTTCTTCACGGTGGCGATGGAATGCCTCCCTCGAATGCTCGCGTTGAGTTTGCTCTCCGTTGACGATCCGACGTTTTGATTCACTGGAACGATATCTTCTCCTCACGATTCGATGCTGTGGAGAACTTGCGTGGCAAGTTTTAGACTCTTGATGAGTTGATAACTCTGAACGAGTTTGAAACTCTATGAAAGAGTTGATTTGAACCGAAAGTCGGTTAATCCGCTAAGGCCGAAAGCTCTCAAGACTGCTCCCAAAAGATGAATGTTGATCTCTCTTTTGTGCGCTCCAAGGTCAATCCGAGCCAAGAAGTTCCCCCCTCGCTGCCAAGTCTCAGATCCAAAAAGCCAGCCCGAACTCAATTGAGTTTACCCATATTTATAGGAAATTAAGGGGTGTAACCGCCCCCCTTAATTCTCTCCATAATGGGGTTGAGAGGGGTGTAACCGCCCCCTTAATCCGCTCATAAGTGGGGAGGAAATCCCTCAAATCGTGGAGGGAAAACGGTTCTTGCAACCGTTTAGCTCGTGTTGGAATGAGTTAAACGCCTACGTTGGCGTTCAGGACCCTAACTCCGCGTTTTAGAATGAAGACGCGGAGTTGGGTACTCGCTGGGTGTTGAAAAACGCGAGGGCCGCTCGCGTTTTGGAGTCTGAAGGTTGGAAACGCGGGGGTCGCCTGCGCTTCATTTGCTGAAGGTTGGAAACGCGAGGGTCGCTCGTGTTTTGCTTGTTGAAGCTTGGAAACGCGGGAGTCGCCTACGTTTCAGGAATTGAAACGCGAAGATGAATTCCGTGTTTTTAGAAGGAGCCAATGACTTATAGCTTCTTCTGCAGAGCGTTGCAAAGACTATTATCTTGTAATCTTCATCTTGGCTCCTTGAAAATATGAGAGTCGTCAGATTGTAACTCCGGTTGTTGATTGTGAAGACTATTGATTAGAGCTTTCATCAGTTGTTGTGAAGGTCGTCAGATTGTAACCTTCAGATGCGGATTTCACCCTTGCATGTTGAATTTGGAACACGGGTATGACCTCGGCGTTTGGTTTTTGCATCGCGGGTCTGACCTCAGCGTTTTGACTTAAGACATGGAAGTGGTTTCCGTGTATTTTTGACTAAGTCTTTGAGACTTGTCTTTGGCTCATCTGTTTTAAGTCTCGGCTCACATCTATTAAGCTGATGGGCCTGCAAACGTGTATAGGATTTTTGGCAAATCCTCAGCCATCAACGGATTTGATAAGCCTTTACCGACTACCGTTTGAGTCGGGCTAGCATGTGGATTGTCTAAGTCCGTTCCACATGTAACGTTGTGCTAAGAGAATGAACCCTCTTAGACTTGATGCTATGATTTTGAATACATAGACTTTATCATTTTTACGGAAAAAGACTAACCGACAACGCGTGTTAGGCGTAAGCTTATCTCTAATTAGGAATCGAGATAAAGTCCCCCATGCATGTAAGGCATGAATTTCGGCGTTATTAATAACAACCTGCTACGATGTTGAATACGTAGACTTTTGTCTTTTTTATGGTGAAAGACTAACCGGCAATGCGTGTTAGGCGTTGACTTATCCTTACTTAGGATTCGGGATAAATTTCCCCATGCGTGTAAGGTATGGATTTTGGCGTTATTAATAATGACCTGCTACGATGTCGAATACGTAGACTTTTGTTATTATTTCTTCCTGTGTTACTTGAAATACTGAAAGAAAGTTGGAAGCGCCAGAGATGTAATATTAACTTGGCATGAATTTCCACTTAGAGTGAAATTCAGAAATTTTCTTTATTATCACTAGGATAATTTCAGAAAATATTTAATCCGCTAGGGATTTTATAATAAAAACTAGCTATTCTTATTGAAAAGAGATTAACAAGTTCATTGGGGGATTTGACTGTTAGAGGTGTGATGTTAACCTAACAGTATTTTATGGGCTTATCACTCTATTGAAGAGAGTTGATAAGTTGGTTTGATCGTCAGAGGTGTGATGTTAACTTGACTAAAATTTATGGGCCTATCGCTCTATTAAGGAGAGTCGATAAGTTGATTTTGTCAGAGGTATGATGTTAACGTGGCAGGAATGTGTTGCGATCGGAGCAACTTTGTGGACTTATCATCCTATTGAAGAGGATTGATAAGTGGGTTGTCAGAGGTATGATGTTAACGTGACTGGAATGTGTTATGATCGGAGCAACTTTGTGGACTTATCATCCTATTGAAGAGGATTGATAAGTGGGTTATCAGAGGTATGATGTTAACGTGACAGGAATTAATATCTAGTTGTTATTCTTTTAGTGAATCTTGATTTTATTTGAATGATAATTTAATCGGTCATACATTCCTTAAGTATTTTGATAGTCCATGTTTAATAAATCTAAAATAAATGTGATAAAAAGAGAGTATTTTCTAAATCCTTCGGCCTCGTTTGTCAAAGGGTTAAGGAAGAGAGATTAAGGAGAAAAATTAATGTTGTTAGTCCATTCGATAACCCGAAGAACTAAGTTATTAACCCGTTAAATAAGTTTTATTTTAGCGATTGTGATTAGTTTTAGCGCTTGGGAATAACAATTTTTTTGACTATTTTCTTATAAATAGAGGGGTTAACTCTTAATCTTTCTAAATAGGAGTATTAGTAAACCTCTCATCTTGGAGGGTTAACTTATTTTAATCTATCTAGAGGGATTAACTTTACCCTTATGCATATTTTGCGTCTGGCAAACTATAGAGGGTTAATTCACTTTAACCTTTGTATAATTTTTTCGTGTTTGACGGGTTAAGAAATGGTTAAGTCTCATTAACTCCTTACTTAACCCATTGCCAAACGACACCTAAATGAATAGTGGATTCACTTCTGGATTCATCATTTCTCTAATTGATTTTCTTCATCTTTTACTTGTGATTTTCCTCTTTTTGGTCAAATTTCTCTTTATTGATTTTGTTCTTTTTCATTTTATTCTTTGTTTTATTTTATTTATTCTCTTGATTTTATTTTTCTCTAATTTTTTCATCTCTCTTTTTTCACTTTTAATCTAGTTTTCTTTTATTTATAAATAATCACACTTTCCTCGTATCTCTCCATATTTATACTTTCACTCCTAATTGTCCACACACAACTCTAGAAACCAATTTAGATTATTTCCTACAATACATTCTTCATGGGATCGACATATTTTTATACTATAAGTTGATAGCTGTGCACTTGTAACTTTGTCTCATTTACCCCTATCACATTTTTTGGTGCCATTTTAATCTACAAGGAAGATTTGGTATGGGTATGATGCTACGCGATAATAAAGGAGAGGCTTATGTCTCCATGCCTGAATGTGGGGGAGGTGGCCCATGAGGGGTGCACTCGGTCCGGATACGGCTCAGATATGATGCTTACCATATTCATATATGTTTACCCATCTCGGATACGGATAAGGATACAGATATACCTCGGTAAGAAAAATTCATAACATATCCGCTAAAATCGGATACAGTTACGGATATAAATACGGATATACGAACGGATATGCATGCGGATACAAAACGGATATGAGAAAACTAGATAGTATGAAGAAAAACATAGTTCATGTGATACAAAAGAGTTCGTTAATATATTCATTATAATTAAAAAGTTAAGTTTAGACATCTTGATCATCAAAATTAACCACAAATCCATAATCTAATAATCGAAACTATCATAAGAGTATGACTAATATGTATTCAGATATTTCGGATACGGATACAGATATTTCACTATAAAACCATATCCTATCGGTTATAGATTTGAGTAACCATATTTGTATCCTAACAGATACGGTTGCGGATATTTCATCGGATCCGGATACGGTTCAACACCCCTACCTTCGATCCAAGAAAGCCGCGGTGAGCTCCAGCCTCCGGTTGGGTCGAGAATGGGCCGAATTGGCGCGTCCAAAATGGACCGGGTACGCTTACAGAACCCGACCCGTGTACTGCACATAGCACGCGGAAAAACCCTAGCTCCTCCCCTTCTCCCTCCCCTATAAATTCTCGCCGTTAAATCTCTTGCGGGCGGGATCCGCCTCAGCTCACCATGGTAACGATCTGATCCTCAACCGAAACCCTAATTCCTCAACTGAAACCCTAACTCTTAACTCTCATTTGGTTCGAATGGCAGGGTATCGATCTCGTCGCCGGCGGCAGGAGCAAGAAGACGAAGCGCACCGCTCCGAAGTCAGACGATCCGTACCTCAAGCTACTCGTCAAGGTTCGAATCGATCAAAGCTGTCGATTTTTTTTCTCATTTCTTGGTAATTTTTATGATTTTTTTGTGTGCGCGCAGTTGTATAAGTTTTTGGTGAGGAGAACAGGGAGCAGCTTCAATGCGGTGATATTGAAGAGGTTGTTCATGAGCAAGACGAATAAGCCACCGATCTCGCTCAAGAGGCTTGCCACTTTCATGAAGGGAAAGGTAACTACTTTTAATTTTTGCAGATTAGAGCCTTATCGTTACGAACAAATGCTTGAAATGTACTTGTGAATTTGCTTAAGCTTTCAACTTTTGAAATTCAAAGTTACTAGCAATAGATATTGGTTTAATCTGGAAACGAAGCTTATGTATTTGGCGAGTTTTTAAAAAAAAATTGTAGCTTTTGAAAGGGTCATTATCTCTACATGAACATGGATGGATATGCACCTATTGATCGACCAATATTTACACCTATAAAAACGCTACACAATCTTATTTTGGTTTGCGTCACACGCAACTCTCATCTTTAAACCTTAGTACGCCTTGAGAGCTGGTGTTTATCTCATTAAATTATACATTCAATTCTAATACATCAAGTGGTGATGTTTACTTATATTTTAATTAATAATAATTTTGTCCATATTAAAGATTAAAATGCACTTTCTCAATGAATAGAACACTTCGATATAGAAATTTATTTTAGTATCGAATCTGGATCGCTCTAGCCCTGGTTACATTTGGACCATTTTGTGATGTATAAATGTACTTATATTACTTTATTGAAAATCTAAACCTTGAAAACGGTTGAAAACTGAAATTAGTGGAAATCTTTGAAGTATTAGCCAAAAGTCTAGGCTGATGATTAATGTAAAAGTTTGTTGAAATTTGAGGAACCTTGACCAAAATGTAAGTTCTTATCAGATGGGAATGTCATGCTATTTTGAGTATCAGAGATTTAATACATGATCATGATATGGTGGCCTTTGCAACTTGACTAGTTCCTGAAGGACCCTAGGTTAACTATTAGTACAAGTGTACAACCTAGAAACAACAATGGAGCATGTACTATCATTGGTGTGATTTCCTATTAGCTTTGTCTTGAGCTTGTGTTGAACGTGAAGGTTTATAGGATTTGGATCTTTTAATAGTACTTCAGTTGAAGCTTTTAACTGATTCATACACAACTACAAAATCTGAACGTTAACAGGTCTGTGTGTTTCATACATTTCTGTTGTTATGGATCCTGATTTACTTTACAATTTGAGTAGGAGGACAAGATTGCGGTAATTGTCGGCCCTGTGACAGATGACAAGCGTGTCTACGAGGTTCCTGCAATGAAGGTGGCAGCTTTGAGGTTCACGGAGACTGCTCGGGCCAGGATCATCAAGGCTGGTGGGGAGTGCTTGACGTTCGATCAGCTTGCGGTTCACGGAGACTGCTCGGGCCAGGATCATCAAGGCTGGTGGGGAGTGCTTGACGTTCGATCAGCTTGCTCTGAGGGCACCACTTGGTCAGAACACGGTATGATCTTAACCATCTTAGTAACGCAAAGGTTTTGCTCTATGTTTGTCACACAGACCCATCTATTTCTTCTATGTTTATTTTACTTAGTTAATAATATAAGCAATTAACAAGTGTTAAGTGATTGCTGTTTGATTATTTTAAAAATTTAGGTGTATAGGTGCTGGTATGTAATTCTATTATTTCTTGCTAATAGTTAGGCCAAATATATGAATCAGAGACGTATTTCGTTACACAACTCTTAAGTGTCTTTTAATTGAAGCGATGTTGTTAAAAGAGTGAAGATATATGTACCCTATATGAAGTTGAGAAGAGGGGAACCTATGAAGTTGAGAAGAGGGAACCTTAGTTTAAAAATTTATTGGATCATGGGATATTTTCCTTGCGGCTTGAAATCCACTATGGATGTTTAGGTGCATTTTGTATTTGATTTGGTTAAAGTTGAACCAATATTTTAGTGAAAAGAGAACTGTTATGCAAACTTTCACCTACTTTTATGTTTGCTCATTGTTTTCTGCATTTATGTTTTTTCTGTTGTAAAGCAATGATGATATTTTTTTCCCAGCTCATTATGAGAGCTTCCATCTAATGGAAGATCAGAGAATGGAAATTATGTAACGTCTGAGCTATGTTTGGCCTTTTTCTTTGTCCTTAATTCCATGTTCTTCTGTGTTTCTTACTTATTAAGGGAACCTTGCTATTGCTATTAGTTTTATTTGTGTTCTTTTTTTCTTCTGCATTTAAGTTTATTTTGTGGCAAAGCAATGATCTTTGTCCTTAATTCCATGTTTTGCCTTTTTATGCTTAAGGGAACCTTCTGTAGCTATTCTTTTTATTTGTTCTTTTTTCCCCTTTGCATTTAAGTTTATTCTGTGGTAAGCAATGATGATACTATTTTTTTTCCCAGCTCATTATGAGAGCTTCCATCAAATGGAAGATCAAAGAATGGAAATAATGTAACATCTGAGCTATGTTTAATGTTTTCCTTCTCTGTAATCCTATATTATTTTGTTTCTTACGTTGATTTTGAAGTGAACCTTGCTATTGCTATTGCTGTTAATTTTCTATGTTCTTTCTTTTTCCTGTATGTAAGTTAATTCTGTTGTAAATCAATGATGATACTGTTTTTCCCAGCTCATTGTGAGAGCTTCCATCAAATGGAAGTTCAAAGAATGGAAATTATGTAATCTCTGAGATATGTGTAGTTTTCTTTCTCTATTATTCTCCATTATTTTTTGTTTCTTACTTTTGGGGAACCTTGCTATTGCTATTCTTTTCTCTGTATTCTTTTATTTTCCTGCATTTGAGTTTATTCTATTCTAAAGCAATGATGATATTATTTTTCCCAGCTCATTATGAGATCTTCCATCAAATGGAGGGTCAGAAGAATGGAAATTATATAATGTCTGAGTTATGTTTAGTTTTTTTCTTTCTCGGTAATCCTCTAATTCTTTTCTTTTGCTCCTTACCATCGATGGAACTTATTAGTTATTGCTATCACACTTGTATTATTTTCACTGGAATATTGCTTTTAATTTTTATCAAAATTTTAATTTTCAAGCTAAACAATTTGTTTTACTTCTGTTAAGATCAGCAAGGTATTTGATCTAAGCATATACTTCAAATTCCTTTTTTAGTTAGTTTGTATGTTAGGCTTTTCGTTGTATGTTTGGTTTTGCAGTTTATGATGATCTTATGAACCATACTAATGCCGATATCTGATTAATCATTCAGCTTTTACTGAAGTCCTTTTATTTGCTTCTTTTATTTTACTTTGTTTTGTTTTGATTTTCATGGTTAGTTTTAATCCCAGTTCTATAAGATCTTCCATTTTGGAATATCAGACACAAGAACAATACATGAGCTCGAGTATCTCCATTAGACGCTTTTACTCATGTTGGTTGCTAATGTTTGCTAGTGGTTTCTTTTGGTTACTGTACAAAGTGTTGGAATGGACAACTCCATAAAGCTATATAAATGAACGTCACCAACCTTTATTTTATTTTACTTCTAATGTTTCTCATGGTTGATGTGATGATGACATCGTATTAATCCCAGCGCTATGAGATATTCCATTTTTTTGGAAGACTCTTACACTTGCAAGTGAAATTAAAAAAAAAAACATATTGGAAAAAGTGTCATACTAAAAATACCAATTTGGTAATTTACCATTTACGGACTGTATGAGTGCCGAACTCCATAGAGCTAAAGTATTTGTGTAAAGTGTAAACTACATAAATGAACATCACCAGGTTTATTTTATTTTACCTTGATTTGTTTATCATGGTTGAAGTGATGATGACATCGTATTAATCCCAGCTCTATGAGATCTTCCATTTCCTTGGAATATCAAGGAATAGATACGAGAACAAAGTCTGACCTCAATTATTTTCATTAAACACTTGTACCTATGTTTGCTAGTGGTTGCCGTACGTTATTCTACCACCTGTAGAAATGCTCAACTCCATAAAGCTAAGCTTTTATGTAAACTATATAAATGAACATCACCGACCTATACGACATCTTTTTGCTCAAGTTTATTTATTTATGTTGCATTATTATCTTCACTATCTTATGCTAATTAATTTTAATTTTTGAACATTTGAAGTATAAGTTGACGCATCCATGCGTACTGTGTGTTGACTGAATAAGTTGCGGTTATTTTTACAGGTTCTCCTCAGAGGTCCAAAGAACTCGAGGGAGGCGGTGAGGCACTTTGGTCCGGCTCCTGACAGCCACACCAAGCCGTATGTCCGTTCCAAGGGGAGGAAGTTTGAGAAGGCTCGGGGTAGGAGAAACAGCAGAGGTTTTCGAGTTTGAGATGCGTTTGCTACTCCGATCGATACCCATTGTGTGGGATTACTGTAGACTTCTATTTCGAGATTTGCCGTTGTTATTTCAGATAATTTTGGAAAGACAAAATGAGGATTCTATATTGTGTTGTTACATTTTTTTTTGGGGATGGCATATTTTTTTACTTCAATTAGCGCAGGAAGTTTTGTGGCTAGACTTGCTTATTTTTCATTTGTTTTCAGAAAATTTGCTTGTGCATTAAGATCACCATTTTCCCTTGTGCCCTACGGTTATTTGGTGATAAAAGCTCAGTTCTAAGTACTTGGTTCCCTTGTATTTTAGATTTGCAATTTGCAGCTAGGAACACCATATAGAATTTTAAGCAAGGGTTTTTTTTTTCAATTGAAACCACCTAATGAATATATAGAGATTATATAGAAACGTATAATATCTAATTTATACTAAAGTCACCTAAATAGCCCCACCTGCCCAATTTTCGTTGACTATTTCATCAAAATTCAGATAATAGTGCTCAAAATGGAATGAACTTGCCAATTTATAGAAATAACAGGAGGAATGGGCTTGGTACATTTATTACAAATTGTCTCATAAAGTCCAGCCCCTTCAAATTAGGAAATTAAAACACCATTTGAGTGTTGGGTCAAGTAGAAAAGAAGACTAAAAAGGTTGCTTATCGTGCATTTGGACCTCTACACTCCAGATCATCAATGCATTTAGATCATAACTGGCGGGTTCCAGATTTTTGCAGCAATGGTACTAGTCTATAGCAGCACAATCTTACTCTTGGAGGTTCTAAATCTTGACTTTAATTAATTATTTGAATTTGAGTCTTTTAGTTGATAGATGAACTTTCTCTTTTCATTGACTAGTTGGATAACACGTGCAATGCACGTGGTAAATTTTTTTTATTGTATTATTGATTCATTTTATTAAGATTTTATTAAATGTAACCATGTATCAAACATATGGATAGAATTTAAAAATTTAAAATGATTAAATAGATTTTTTGCGTTCTTAACAATAAAAAACAATGAATAATTTTATTAAAGAATTTTATTTGATATACACCATTGAGTTTCAATCAACCATCTTATAAGAATGAAATTCAGATGTAGCATAGGTCCATTGTAGCTGACTTATCACTGGCTAATAGAAATGACATATAGAACTATTGACTCATCAAAACTTCTCTTGAATCATTTGCTATTCGAGTTTTTAGTAAGCTGCATGCATTTTCGGCTTGTCCTGATGCATGGTAACGAGAAGGCTCTGTTAAGCAACCACTTTTTTTCTCTTTTTTACCACCTAAATGAAAGTTTTCAAGTACGAAATTTAGTAATTGCTATTATGCAAATTTTTTTTTTGGCAATAGTTAATAAAATGAAGATATTATAAAAACAGTTTATCTATATTAGGTCAATGAACAAATGATTTTGTTAATGAAACACAATAAATGAGTGGCATAAAAGTATTTGGTTTTAAAATAGATAAAATGTGTACTGTAGCAAGCATGAAAAAGGAAATTTTTTTAAATTAAAAAAAATTGAAACATGATATATTCTATGACATAAACAAATGTAACAAACATAACAGAAGACTCCCAAAGAACTATGAGCATTTTTTTATAACTAAATCCAAAGTCAAAACATTTTGAAATAAGAACGCATGCAATGACCACACATTTGATGAAGATGCAAAATAGTCGCAAGGCAAGTTTTCAATACATAAAGCAGAGAGGAATTAAATGGAGTTCGATATTATCATCTGCTTATATATGCTCCTGGCTTGGTAGAAACTATAGTTAAATCCTAGGAGAACATGAAATCTGTAATATTTTAATGCATAAACATTTGTAAGAATACTGCAGTAATAAGTATATTGGTAAATTATTCTATTTGATCACATACCATGGTTTGTATATTTTGCAGAATTGAGTAATTAGATCATGCTGCTTAATTCTTAATTACAGATTCATAATTTTGTTCTGAGAAAATAATCATTACTTTGGTGTATATCAGTCACATATAACCATCTTTGTATATTTTTGATGTAACAGTTCTAAGCTTGCTATTGATTAGTCACGCACATCTAGAAACAGTTTCAGATTCTAATATATGCATTGCTAACGACATGCACTTGCAACATTTGGAGTTAAGTAATATCCTTCAAGAAAATTTACCTTAATTTTAATATAATCAATTTGAATACATACTTTAAGATCATGTGAAAAACCAGATTGGTAAACTTAATTCTTAGCAATCTCACATATATCACATGAAATCACCTTATTCTTTAGTAAAATGGATTTGCATTAGTTATCTATTGACAAAGAAACATTAATACCCCATAAGAAAAACATGTTAAAATGTTTTTAATGATAATCCAGAAATAAGGAAGTGTAGCTCAATGGAGACATTGTGAGGCAATCTGGGCAATCAAAAAATGACCATTAATTTTACCCTCGAAATACCTCAGCGTACAGTAGTACAACATTTTTAAATAAAACGACAGCCCACATGCAAAATTTATGGAAAAAATATCCTTAAACATTTACAAAACAAAATGCTAATGAGATCATATCTCTAACTCCTTTTGTTTGGTTTGCACTTGATCTTGTGGGACTACTCCTTTATATTCAACTTCTTAATTAGAAGGAAAGCTAGTAAAAAAAAGTAAGAGAAATTACAAGGGTAGTTTGCAGTTTTATCACCTTAATGGAATGAAACACGCTATCTGCATATGACAATATCACATCAAAACCTTCTTTAAGTGTTACCTGCAAATCCACAGTCAACAGTGGCATCTTTCATTCTCGTTCTTTGACTACATGGCTTTCAAACTCTTCCTTTGTCCAACCATCTTCATCTTCATTGTTGAAATCACCCTCAAGAACAACAATGTCTATTTTTATAGATGCCTCAGTTCCTGATGTTACAACATGGACAGTATTTGCATCGAGCAATACAACATGAATTGCATCTTGTCATAATTTAGAAGTTGATAGATATCCTGCAGCTTGAAATAAGTTTGTTAACTGTCATAATAAATGCTATGGATGATATGACGTGCCTCTTTTTTTTATAAATGAATAAGATTTGGCATGTACCTCTTTGTAGGAATTGTGGGTACACAATGCTTTGACACTTCAGATCTGTTGCCATTCAAGACAAGAACTAACCTGTATAGAAATGGTAATCTGAGATTTAGCGACGATGCACACACACTATGATTAAGCATCATCTGAGTATGACAAGTATGAGTGTGAATTATATGATGGCATAGAATAAGATTACATATTATTTGTCCCACAAACTTAAGTTTTGTAGAAACAAGTTAATTAATATGTCTTGATCCGAAAAATTAAAAATTAAACATTAGCATAGTTACCTTGGATTATAATAGTCCTTTCAAGGCCAAATAGTAGGTGGGAAATCACCAACTCTGTGTTCTGGGTTATCATAACTACCAAAGCACAAATCAAATCCTCCCAGATAGCATATTTGATTGTCAACAATCATAATTTTGTCAAGATGCACAATTGCAACAAGAGCATCATGAATACTAAGATACCACAGAAACATAATTAGCAATTAGCATTTAACAATCCTGCATCCTGTCATTGCTAAGCTCAGCAATGTTTCTCTCAAAGAATTCATGTTGGCTCGACAGTTAAGTAATGCCAAAGATTGGAAAGAAAATATTAAGTTTAACTTACGGTACTTGAGTGGGAACTTCACTTGGAGTGGGAGGCACTGAAGAAGCAGTTCTTGCAGGCTATTTCAATAAGGAATTGGAGTAAATTAGAAGGCGAAAACATAACTGTAGCAGTGATAAAAAAACAAAATTATGCAAGAAAGAGTACCTGGGTTGCAGACGAGGCTACAGTGGCCACAGGCTTGCTCTGAAGCAATAGGAAATCATTATGGATCAATAATGAAATAAGGGGGGAAATATGATAACATACGGAAAACATTACAAAAATCATAATCATAATAAACAAAAAACAAGAAAGACACCTGAGTAGCAGATGAGGCTCTAGCTGTGGCTGAGGTCTTGTTCTAAGCACAATTGCATGATGTATTATCTTCTCATAAAAAAATAAATCTTAGGGAATGGATGATTGATTCGTGGAAGAATTCATACCACAAGTAAACACGAGTTGAGAAATGATCAGGATAGTGCAGAACTTTAACATTCTCATGAATGTTAAGCAGCCTTTGCTTACTGTATATACTGTTGATTTTCAAAGCAATGGCAACTTCTTTGTAAAGAAGGATGTAGATCTATACATTAGTGTAAATTAGTTGACAATCATGAGCAATTAGGATAAGCTACTCCACAAAAAATTTACAAATATATGTAGCATATTAATTAGAACCAAATAATTCAACTTCTTGATGCTAACGAAAAATATGACATATTATCATTGACATGTAAAGATGATCCATGCTTCTATGTCAAACATCATACTTCAATTTCTATTACAGGCGATAATATTGTTACAAAGTGAATAAGATAATGCAAGAAAACTTTACTATAGTCACGACATCAGTAATTTCAGTGAATCTGATGAACCAAATAACTAAAACTAAAATAGAACAAGTGAAACAACACATGGTAATGCTGAAAGTACGTGAACACCATGTTTAGCCTTTGCCTCTAGCAAGGAATCAAGCCGAGAAGACGCATGAATGTGAAAATGACGTCGAAGGTATAACTCAGGACAGAGCCACCAGACAGTAATGAATATCTATAAACAAATTTCAATTATTTCAGAACTATCCCTGTCAATATTTTGTAAATTGCTAGTTTCACATTATTGAATTGAATGAGTGAAGAAACTGACCTCTGATTTTGCTACTTCAATAGAAGAAGCAATTGAAGCAAATGCAGCTTGTCCATCAACAAACCACTGGACCTGACTGTCATATTCTGTTAACCCCCTAGAAGGATCAAAAGAACCAAAACAGTGAGGCATACACCAGTCCCCCGGTGGTCGTAGTCCCGCATCATTTATTGCCACAACCCAAACTTTTACTTTTGCACTGCTTCTCACTCTCAATTTATTGGTCATGTTCCCGCATGATACCTTTGAGATGAATGTAGATTAGAGATTGAACCAGAACAGTGTAATCTTCATCAGTACCAGAAAATGAAGGTCAAAGTTTAATACGAAATGCAATACAAGTGTGGGCTAAGTCAAAATTTACGACAGTAGTAAAACAGTTCCAAAAAATTCAACCACAATAGATTATATCAATATTGCTAACAGTGTCATGAATGTAATAAGATCAAGTTCAAGTATCTCTCGATTCAGAAATTTATCGGAAATATGAAAATTTACAAATGTAAACCAATAGCATAATAGTAAGAGGTTATAGAGTTAAAGCTTATTGCATAAAATTTTACTGTAGCAATGCTCCGAATAACAACAGTTAACTTATGACTTACGTAAAAAGACCAAGGAAAACAAAGTCTACTAATACAACATGTTTTCATATAGGAATCTAACCCATAACAAAGACACTGTATGAGCCTAAAAGAAATGACATCACAACCTGAGAAAATGGTAGCGATACAATAACAAATTTCTATTTTCCACTTGACATGTATATTTGACGCTTCATGAATCATGATTTTAGTTAGATAATCATTGTTTAAACGTCGAAAATACACAATTTAGAGTGCAAATCAAACTATATGCATCAATGTATCTAAGAAGATGAATAAAAACAACATAAAACAAGTCAACCAAAAATGATAACTCAATTCTGCAACAAATTATACATAAAAAGCAAAAATAATCATGGGAGAAATACAGCAAAGGGACATGAAGCTTACTTCATAATAAGCTTTCTTAATTTCTGAAGCAGTTGCATTCTTACTCACTCCCAGTACATCATAATAGTCCCTTACAAGCGCCGGCCTTGTTCCTAAAGTAATAAAAAAATAAGCATCCAGTAAAGAAAAATAAACTTTTACAAAACATTAAATTTATTCAATAGAGAGAACACCTACTATGAAAATTCCTCTTATTCATATAAAAGATGCCACTTTGAACTCAACTCGTCCATTGTCCTACATAGTTTAGTCCTAATAAAATAAAACCCCAAAACCAAGTAATTCATAATACAATGAAGAACGTACCTTTTCCCTAGTTGGAGTCTGAGGAAACTGTAGACGATGAAGTGCATATCCAACGTGATTACTTCTATGACTACAAACATCCAAGCAAAGAAATAATCAAATTACTGACGGATAATTGAAAAAATTCGAGAAAATTTGGGGATTTAAAAAGTACAACATTTGACTCATATTTCCAATGTTTGGTTAAAGATATGATAGTTGAGAATGATAGTTGAAGATATGATAGTTGAGAATGATAGTTGAATTTTCATTTGTAGGGGTTAAAAAGTACAACATTTGACGCAACATATCTACTTCCATTCCTTGAAGTAGATTCAAAAGTTAAATTAGGTATGTAATGTCAATTTGTGTGTACTTCAACTTAATCATTTTATGAAACCATGGATGTCAGCTTCTACAGATAGCAAAAATGGGAGGGGGTGGGAGGGTAGGGGGGTTACTAAACTAAAGAAAATGTACAGGGAAATGTAATCTCATTTAAGATATAAATGACAATTACCTCTTGATGTTAAGCATGTCCTTAGCCTCACTTTGTTCCTCTATCAACATATCACTTGTATACTTGTTCAACAACTCCATTTTCTTCTTCTCCAACACCATCCTCTCAATCTCCTTGTCATCTGGCAGAGGAACATGAACCACAAAGAAAGAAAGGGAGTTGACTTACACTTGTAGGAAAAAACATCAAAGCATGAGAAAGTCCTCCATGACCGCTAAGAAGATGTAATGGACGGCTAGCTTTCATTGATCAAACAAAAATCTGAAACCCAAAATAACATGAAACTGTCAAGACAAGACAAAAGAAAAGCTTATGAGCATAACTAAAACACACAGATTACACCAATTTCCAAACTGCTTCCTGTTATCTTCATATGAATAGTTAATATTTATCCATGTATACTCAGTCATTAAAAAGTCTCGAAAAAGAGGAAACATTAGGTTTCTCGTTTTATAAGCACGTTAAGGCCTATTAGGCGCATCCATTTATTCAAACTCATTAATAATACTTATCTACAAAATTTATAGCACTAAAGCTTGCGGAATCCAAACTATGACAAAGAATTTAGCCTTCCCAAAAGCTGAATAAGCACCTAAATGATCAAAAGGACCATAAGCAATAAGAGCTATCAATACAATTACCAATAAGCCCCCAAAATATCCAGAAATGAAAGTTAGCAATAAAAAAAATCTTTACCTTTTGCTAATTTTGCAGATAGGCAAGTGGTCAAAGTAAACAATAACTGAAAAGAGAAAAATAGAAATTGGATAAAGGTCTTAGAAAAGGCAAGACCCATGAATCAAATACCTCTGTCTATAAACGTACAATTAACTAAATCTCTGGAATAAATTGAATAACCTCATTCCTTTAGCTGTACACAAGCCCACAGATCTTATTATACTTCTGCTCCAGCTCCAGGACTTTATCATTGACTTCTTTCTTGACCTGTCAAATATAAATCATATTAGCCAAGAAAGGGGGGAAATGTGGATCTAATGTACAACTTTTCATAATTATTATGTTTTGGTCTATTCCTTTTGATAATGTATTGGCCTGGAGAATACACTTACCCTATAAGTCTTAACTCTTGAAGATTAATTCATTTTTATGATAATTCTAAAGTTGCCTTCACTATAACATGTCATTAGGTGTCTTGCTTTGAAGATGAACATTTAGCATGGTACAAATTAATGTGAAGGAATAATTGAAGATATTTTGGACTACCATCATAAGTAAGTAGTACACATCAATCGAATTGAAAAGTTATAAACGTGAAAATTCAATGGAATTTTTTGCACCACATGCATATTTGATCAGATTGTAAAAATATTAAATCATTGGAAGCAAAAAGCTTCCGTAGTGAATAAAAGAACACTATTAATTAATAACGGATACTTGTTAACATAAAGCTTGGTTTGAACAGAGAGCCTTGAAGATAGCATATGCTTCGTATTTTATAGAAAAATCACATATGTGAACAATGATATATATGCAATTGGCGACCCATAACATCATGCATGTAACAAACTATAAAGGTTTATATCACAAAGCATGAAAAAACATATAAATGAAGTAGATTATCATTGATCTATATACTTAATCACCACAACATAAGTTTTTAAAGAAAAGCAATACAATATAATTCTTCAATAAGAACTATAAACTATATTGACAATTAAACTATTATTGATTTTTAATTCAAGCCTAAGAATAAACCATCCAACACCCAAGTAGTAAATGATGATGCCTTGAGGATGCTAATTAGGTTTGTTTTGAATTGAAAGTTAAGCATTTAACATTTACTTAAACTAAATAAAAGCATGCATAGCAAAAGAAAAAGTTTCTATTTTCTATTTCAATTCAATCAAAATATATATATAATCCAACAAACCAAATTAATTTTTTATCAAATATTAATATTTACATTGATAGATGGGAGATTCAGCAACCTTCAAATCCTTAATCCTGTAAATAATGCATAAAAACTGAAAAAATTAGAAAAATATCAATTGTCGTAAAAACTAATTGCAGTGCAAAAAAAATTAGAAAAATATCAATTGTCGTAAAAACTAATTGCAGTGCAAGAAAATAAACTAAATTCCAATGCATAGAACCTAAATTGCCTCAGAGAAAACAATTACGTTGGTGTTATGCTTAATTTCAAAATATGAAAAATTTCATAATGAAATTAATCACATATCAAAACATCATACCTACTTTTATTTGAATTATAAGAATTAAGAAAGATGTCGCACAGACTAAGAATTTTCAAAATAAAATCAAAATTTACGAGAAAAAAAGGATAACAAAAATTCCTAATAGCTCTTTTCCCATAAAGGATACCTGAATTTCTAAAACAAACAAAATTGATAAATTGCTTTAAAAAAGGAAAAGTGAAGGGAAAAATTATTTACCTGCTACTGCCCGCTGGCAGCTCTCTCCACCCATCGTTTCGAATCCCTCTCCTTCTCCCCTGCGTAATAACCAGTCGCCATCTCGTTCATCTCCCCAAACCCTAACCCCTACGAAACCGTAACCCTAACCTCCTCGTGCTCCTCCTCTTCCTCTCTCCTCGCCGCCATGAGATCCACATCTCGTCCCTCTCCCTCACCTCTCTCTTGAGCTCCCCGACCCTCCCCCTCAACCCCTCGATCTCCTCGTTCGTCGACTCGATCTGATCCAAAAGCCGCCGCTCCTCCTGCTGCCACGCGTGGCGGTGGCTGGCGAAGATCTCGACGACGCGGGCGTTGGCCTTGGAATCCCCCTTCCTCCTCGACCTTAGGGTTTTTAGCTGGTCCTTAGCCTGGAAGAGCTTGAGGCTGAGGATTCGGTTGCGGGATTGGAGAGAGGAGAGGTAGGGGATGAAGGATTTGGGGAGGAAGCCTAAGAAGACGGCGAAGGAGAGGCCAAGATAGATCGAGAGAGATGAGGGGTTGGGGTCGTAACCGATGAAAAAGAGTAAAGTGGCTTATCAATTGAGGATACGTTTGGTAACTAAATTTGGTGGAAGGTTATTTTGGGGAGGGTAAAGTTTTTGCTTATCAATTGAGGATACGTTTGGTAACTAAATTTGGTGGAAGGTTATTTTGGGGAGGGTAAAGTTTTTCATGAACTCCCTCTTTTAAAGAGTAATAGATAATAGATTTATCTTGTTGCATTACACTTTCATAATCCTATTAGGGGACCGTATCAAGGATGCTAACCTTGGATTAGACAAGGAAGTTTGAAGATTGCTGTGCATATCCAAGAATTACTTTTTTTTCGATGCATCATTATCTAGTGGACAGAAGCACTGTATACTTTCGTTTCATAATACATCAGTGCAGATATTTATTCCATTATAACAAGAAGTACATATTTCTTTGCGAAAGATTATGAGCAATGCTAGCGACACCCGCGGTTTAGCCAGACTTAGTACAAATGATTTGTATCAACTTCATGATGTGTAAGTTCACTTTAAGTTAAGCGGATGAACTTTACATTAAGAATACGATTTACTTTTACAAATGATGACAACATATTGAAAAAATTATTGTGCAATAAATGGTATTTTGTAACGATTTGCATCTCTTTTTGAACGAAGGGTACAGCCGGGACATTTTACAATCCAAGCCTACTCTTTTCTATGAACTACATGGGTCAGAATTTCTTATTCTGTTTTTTTCTTCTTTTCCCTCCTTTTAGGTGTCTCTCATGATCTAGTGTTCCCCGTTGTTGATAATATTGTGTTAGTTGTTGATAATATTGTGTTAGTAGTGGATTTAGTCCCACATTGGTTATGAGGACAAACCTCACCCTCATGTACTTGTATATATATATATGTACACACTCAATATTCAATTCAAGGGAAATTTACCAAAGACTCTCTCTCTCTTACTTTAACTTGTTATCAGAGCTTGGTTTAGAGTTTCCCAAATAATAAAATTTTTCAAAATAAATAAAAATTTCCCTTCTAAGTCGCCGATCTCAGTCGTCACAGGAGACCTCGGCCGCTGCCACTGTCGCAGATCTCGGTGGAGATCTGCTCAATCCCACAATCTCTGTCGCCAGAGATCTAATTGGCCGCCGCAATCACTGTCCCCAAATTGTCACCATGATTTTTCAACACGATCTCCGCTAATTGAGAGTGATTTAATTGGAGATTTTGTTGAGATTACTCAAACTTGGCTTGATCAAACTCTACCACGAGAGTTTCGACGGTTGTTCCAGTGAGATGAACATCGAATTGCGCCACCACTTCTTCGTCACAGAAGCTTTCCCCAGCGGAGTCGCCATCTTTTTGTTTGTGGAAAATTTGTAGTAAAAAGACAATGAAGGAAAATTTGATTTGTATTCCTTTAATCTCAGTTACAATTGGATTTCCTGATTACAAAAGAGAAGAGAATGAATTTGATTCTCCCCTTTGTTTA